TAACTCAAATGCGATTTTATTCCATTGGTATACATATACGAAATTTTTTCGAGGTTAGGATTTAAGGTTTCAAATTATAAATTATTCTAATTTCTATTAACTATCTGCTGAAAAATTAGCCGCAAAGATAATAATCATCAGCGCTAGAGCTTTTACACTTTATTTATTTTTGTTTTCGTGGAAGAAAGGATATCTAACTGTCCTTACAAGTGGTAGTATCGGATTCGGGTGTTTTCACTGCGGTACGTGTTAGGAAAGTTTGACCATGTTGATAACTAGCAGTAGCCCGTCCAAATTTGGATGGTATCTTTGTCGGTACTGGACAGCACCATTCCCTAACCTAACCTAAAGCTTAGTGCGTAACACTTAAGCCTTGACATTTTTTTGGAATTTGTAATGTATTAAACGTTTAACCTCCCTTTCACTCTGTTAAGGGGGATATTTTGGAAACTCATTTTTTAATACATAAGACTATTGTATAAGGAACTTTTGAGCAAAATTTCAAGCCTAGGTGTTTGGGCAGCGCATTGATAAATCGGCCAGTCAGTTTATCCTTTTATATATTACATACGGATAGATTATTATTTAATTATGAAATGACATCGATTTTATGTGATACATAACCTATTGGATTGTTAATTGTGATTAGAACGAGAGGTACTCGTTTTCCATTTGTTGGTGAATACTCCGCTGTAGGTTTATTTAGGCAACGAGTATCATATTGAATGGTTTAATAGGCTAATTATATTTTCAGCAATTACAGGAAGAGAAACAAATTAATTAAATCAGCTAAATAATGTGTTTAAACAGGTCGTGTTGCCTCTGTACGAGGAAATTATTACATATCTGTGTATATCTGTAATCTAAACCAGTGCTTTCAAAAGTTATATAAAAGATTCCAAAAACGATTGTGAGTTAGTATCGATAAAAAGCACTTGCAGAAATAAAAACAGTTCGTTCGTAATTATTTCATACGTAAAAGTTTTTAGTGTTTAGGGTGAAAAAATAGTTTGTCTTGCGAGGTGAATGGCCGAAAGGGATGTGGTGTTAAAAGTTTGAGAGTCACTGATCCGAACTAATCATGAATCAGATTTAGTTGTGGCTTTATACCTACCACTTCTCCACTATGAGACTATCAGGGGATGATATCCCCCGTCAGTAATCCAGCTGACGCTCGTATAATAGCTGAAAAACATTTAATATACGAGTGTACGAAATGTGCCCAAACATACTACATGTATTTTCATAAAATAAGCGTCTGCATATCAATTTGAAACCTCTCCTCTCATATTTATTCCCCAAGTATCATGCAGAATGATCTGTAATTCAATATCCCGCCGATGTAAAGATTAGAAAATGAAATATAACCCAGGGAAAAATTAAAATGCGGAAATTTTACTAAAAGACCATCGAATAAACTTCTATCGTCGCCTTCTATGTTTCTCCGCCAGATAAAAATAACGCCAATAAATCATGATAATAAAACAGGGTAAATCGAAAATCACAATTCGAATGATTGTAAGGAATACGCAATAGAAAAGCTATCGGATTCCTGGGTCAAATCATTTTCAAACCATCGTTATCATAAAAGCAAAAACAATTATAAAAACCTGCATATCAGGAGAAGAACTAAATAAAAAATAAAATCCATCAAGGATCCAACATCATCATCATCATCATAAGGTCATCAAGACTGGTTGGACACGTACCTCCACTCTTTCCTATCCTGAGCTAAACTTCGCATTTCCCTGAAACTAGAACAGCCCACATCCTTATGTATTTGCGAACAGTAATCTAATCTAGGTCTACCTCTACCCCTCCTAACTCCTGCTTCTGCCTCTAATATGTCTCTGACTAGACCTTCATGCCTGAGAAGGTGTCCTACCAACCTATCTCACCTATTTTTTATTGACTTCCATAGAGTCCTTTGTTCTCCTATTCTTTCCAATACCTCTTTATTTCTAACCTTTTCTACCCACGTTATCCTCATCATCCGCCTATAACACCACATTTCGAACGCTTCTAACCTTTTCTTTTCCGCCACGCCCACTGTCCATGTTTCGCACCCGTACAACGCTGTGCTCTAAACATACACCTTTAACAACCTTTTTCGAATTTCTAAATTAACCGCGAGCATAAAAGTGACTTCTTTTTATTAAAGGCGACACGAGCCTGCGCTACCCTCTGCTTTATATCCCTACTACTCCTTCCATCCTGACTTATCTGACTTCCTAACTATCTAAAATCAGCCACTTCTTCTAATTTTTCGTCTCCTATCTTTATATTCGCTCTGTCCCTACTTTTTCTTCCCTTGCATACCAGTATTTTAGTTTTACTTTTATTTATTTTCATACAGTACTGATCTGTCAGTACCGCTTCCATTTTATTTAAAGCTATCTCTAATTCCTCCTTGCTAGATGCTAATACTGCTATATCATCTGCAAATCTAAGCATACTAATCTTTTGCCCTTGCACTTCTATCCCTACAGTTGTACTGTCTTTAATGATTTTGATCGCGTCTTCCATGTATAGATTAAAAAGTAGCGGTGACAGTGTGCATCCCTGTCTGACTCCCTTCCTAATATTTACTTCTCAAGGATCCAACGTAAACGATGTATTATAAATAAGTATTGCTTCGGTAATCCCAAAATAAAAACCTCTTAAATTCAATTTCTACATCAGGTGGAATCGTACTCAACAAAAACTATGAAATTTTTAGCATCAACGATAAGAACACCGAAGGAGGAATCCAACGATCCAAAAGGGTGGTCTTGAATAAGGGAAAAGAAATGATGCTTGAATAAATATGATCTTAAAGAGTGGCATAGACATTTAACTCAGGTGTATTTAATACTCCAATTATTTTGAAGCATCTTGTTAATTGTACCTGACCAAAATCCTAACTAAGGACTCCCTATAAGGTACAGTTAGCGATTAGGGTGCACTAGGAAGACCAAATGAAAACGAATGAAATTCCGCAAACAAACGTATTGCACTTAAAAACCAGGAAATATTGAAGACCAATAGTAAGAAACCATTCAAAATTAAAGATCTGAAGAAGTTAGAGGAAACCAAGGAGATAATAGAATAGAAATCAAAATGATTTCAATGAAAAAACGAATATTAGATATATGTTAAAGTAGACGTAAGGCAAATATTAAGATCGTTTTTAAAATTCGCCTTTTTCAAAATTGTATATCTAAGCTTTCGTAGCTACGAAATCAGAAATCCAAAAAGCTGCTGACAATCCGATGTCTAAAAGACGTTTCTTGTTGTTGCTATGGTTACGTTAAGGTTTATAATGTGTGGAAAATAGTTGTTGATTGCATAAAAAAGTAATTTTCTTGAAGGGTATTCATGACAAACTGGGAATAATCGTTTAACCATTAGCACCAAGTTGGCGCTGGGTACCGTAACCTCGAAGTCCTTCCACTACGTGTGTGCCGCTTCAAACATACTGAGCAGAAGCACAATCGTAAATCAAACAGAATTAAATATTAAAAGCGTTCCAAGTCTCGACGGGAATTCAGATTTAAAATTAATGTAAAGTAGATAATTCGAATTTTAGAAATTTGAACCGTTCCTTTCAGAATGCCAGCCAGCACATGTGTTCGTCGTTTTAAAAAATTCTGACAATCTCCTGCGCTTCTCCGATCTCCTATTATAGGGTTGTTCGAAAAGTCATTTGTTTTTTTTGTGGAAATGAAAGACAGTTTTCGTATAATAAACAAATACTTTATTAAATTATATATTGACCGTTCTGGTCCAACACCTTTTGCCATCTTTCTGGTAGTAGCATAATTCCACGCTCATAAAATTTTTGGTCTTTGCTGGCAAAAAACTGATCGAGGAGGTTTTTGACCTCCTCATTTGAGGTGAAGGTTTTACCGTCTAAAAAATTTTGGAGTGACCGGAACAAATAATAATCCGATGGTGCCAGGTCTGGAGAATATGGTGGGTGTAGCATTGTATCCCATTCAAGCTGTAAAAGCTTTTGGCGAGTGACCAAACTTGTGTGAGGTCTCGCGTTGTCTTGGTGAAACACTACACCTTTCCTGTTGATTAGTTCTGACCTTTTCTGTTGAAGTGCATCATTCAGTTTGTCCAGCTGATGACAGTAGACTTCCGAATTAATCGTTGTGTTATCCGGTAAAAGCTAAAAAAAAACGATTCCTTTAAAATCCCACCAAACAGACAGCATCACCTTTTTTTGGTGAATATCGGCTTTGGAAATGGTTTGAGCCGGTTCATCTTTTTTGCTCCATGACCTCTTGCGTTTGACGTTGTTGTATACAACCCATTTTTCGTCCCCAGTGATGATGCGCTTCAAAAACGGATCATTTTCGTGACGTTTGAGAAGCGAATCGCAGACGTCAATGCGGCGACACAGATTTCTCTCTGTGAGAACATGGGGAACCCATACATCGAGCTTCGAGGATAATCCCAGGCCTTTCAAGTGGTCATAAACTGTTGAATTTGATAAATTTAACCTCAATCCGATCTCACGTGTTGTTATTCGCCGGTTCACATCAACTAATGCCTTTATCGCGTCTTTATCAGCTTCAACCGGCCTTCCCGAACGTGGTGCATCTTCGACATCAAAATTGCCGGATCGAAATTTAGCGAACCAGTTCTGGCACTGGCGTACTGTCAACACACCTTCTCCATACACATCAGTCAATTTCTTTCTGGCTTGAACAGCATTTTTACCCTTTCTGTAGTAAAACAGTAAGATATGTCGAAAATGCTGCTTATCGCTCTCCATATTTAAAAGGGCACCAACCAAAAACTACTGCGTAGAATTAATTGGAATTTTTCACACACAAGCCTTGCTATATGAGCTCTCAAAGCATATAAAAATTATACGGCTTAAATGTAAAGTTGGGTGCAAAAGAATACAATTAAATCCTTTGTCGGGAAAAAACGAAATGACTTTCCGAACAACCCAATACATTATATGGATAGGAAATGAGGTAGTTATTACCCGATAAATCATGAGATATTTTAAATGAAAACTTTATTTTTATTTCACAATCGCTTGTGTACTTACAACTAAAATTGCTCAACATTTGCTTACAATATGACTAAAATTCAAATACTGCTTTACCGATTTTACCTTTCGCAAGTTCGTCCAAGGCCTCTTTGTACTGGCTTAATTTGAATGTTTTTATTCCCAACTTCTCGTAATCGATGTACCTTAATATGACACTGAATTAAATCACGGTAACTACAATATTTTCATAATTACCTGTCACCCAATGCTTCTAGAAGTCCTAAAGATTTTGGAAAAGTCAAAGGATTGACGAGTACGGGATACAGAGTCACTTCCTTAGCGTAAAGTTGAAACGGTGAAATACTACCGAATGAAATAAACTGTTTAAATACATTCAACATACATTTTACATGATTTACCTCACTGTGGCATGAGGAGGGGCAACCCCGAACAAACAAAATTTACCACCATAGTTTAAAAGTCCAAAGCCACTTTGAATAGCCGCAGGAGATCCGCTACAATCGATGATAACATCGAATAAGTAATTGGGGTCTTTTTTAGTCCTTTCCTGTAGAACTTCTGGCGCAACACATTCATATCCAGTTTCTATAAACAGATACTTATTATACTGCTTTTATATTACTCTTCAAAATCCTGTTTACCAAGGTGTTCGATAATTTTTCTTCTTTGTGCGTTTGGTTCTGACACTACAACTCTTCTGTGTCCTTGCAAATGAAGAACAATCACCCAAAGGTTTCCTATAATTCCTGCACCAGTTATAAGGATCTTTTGACCAACAGTTACTGGCGCTATCCTATCCCATCCATGAGCCACGCAGGACATTGGTTCACTTAATGCTCCTAAAATTTTATCATTTTAATATTTCCAATTTTTATGTGTTTTTATTTCTAAAGCTACGGAAAAAGTACTAAAACTATAGCGATTATTCAATGTTGTACTGTTTTCGAAAAAATTAATGTTGTGAATAGTGAACGAAAATTCAGTTAAACAAAATCGCGGCGCTTTGCTGGTTTTATTATTTTGTTGTTTTTTTCATACTGCAGATATGTTTTATCAAATTTTATTGGGATTATATATAATACTTATATAGTTTTATCTCTCAGATTTTTTTGTTATCATTGTTGCTCAGTAATAAAAGTTTACTGACCTTGTGTAAAATACAATATAAAAAAAGACAAGTACGAGGGTGGATTGATAAGTTTCCGGCCTAACCAAGAGATGACGCCACTAGGCCTACCTTGAGGTGACATTCTATAGTACCATCCTTGGATAGCTTGTAGCTATAGTTTCAGCCCGATCTCCTTGCTAGTGTAGGTTTGACAGCACGCTGAACAAGACGCCTCTGTGGTTTTCGTAAAAATGGAAAAGCAGGAAAATCGTGCTGTCATCAAATACTTTTATTTGAAGGGGTTAACGCCGAAGGAAATTAAAAAAGAGATGGACTCAACACTGGGGACATCCTCCCCGTCATATTCAACCGTTAAGCAGTGGGTTTCCGAGTTTAAAAAGGGTCGTGTGAGCACCTCTGATGGGCCTCGCTCAGGACGCCCCGTTGAGGTCACAACTCCAGATATGATCGAAAAAATTCATCAAATAGTGCTGGGAGACCGCAGATTGAAAGTGCGTGAGATAGCTGAGACCTGTAAGATGTCATATGAACGTGTGCAACATATTTTGCACCAACATTTGCATATGGAAAAGCTCTGTGCAAGATGGGTGCCGCGTTTGCTAACAGTCGACCAAAAATTGATTCGAAAAAACATTTCTACCGCAAATTTGTCATTGTATAAGCGTAATCCAAGCGAATTTTTGCGTCGATTCGTAACCGTTGACGAAACGTGGGTCCACCACTACACTCCTGAAACCAAAGAACAGTCTAAACAGTGGATTGGACCAGGGGAACCAACTCCAAAGAAGGCAAAAACAATTTTTTCGGCGAACAAGGTTATGGCTACTGTTTTTTGGGATGCAAGAGGTATTATATACATTGATTACCTTGCAAAGGGTAATACTATCACTGGTCAATACTACGCAGACTTATTGCAACGTTTGAGCCACGAGGTGAAAATTAAACGACCTCATCTGGCGAAGAAAAAAATCTTGTTTCATCACGATAACGCACCAGCGCACACGTCAATCGTTGCGACGGCTAAAATCAACGATCTAAAGTTTGAATTGATGCCGCACCCTCCTTACTCTCCAGACCTAGCCCCGAGTGACTATTTTCTGTTCCCTAATCTCAAAAAATGGCTTGGCGGTAAGAGATTTGCGGACAATGAAGAAGTAATCGAAGCTGTAAATGGTTATTTTGAGGAGCTTGACGAATCAGTCTATAGAGATGGCATTAATAGACTGGAACACCGCTATGAGAAATGTATCAGCCTTGGAGGAGATTATGTTGAGAAATAAAAAAAAAAAATTTTTAAAAACCTTGTTTTTCTTGGTCAGGCCGGAAACTTATCAATCCACCCTCGTAGTTAATTGTGAAAAATTTCGCTTGATAAATCCATATGTTTAATTCATAAATCATATCCCCTGTATATAAATGAACTAAATTAGATAATAAAGGTAAACTGTATTACGCAGTACCTGTACAAGCGGTTAGTTATGATTTAATTCTCTGATTGTCAGTAATTCTACAGTACCTTGTTTAAGGGAAACCGTTGGAGGCAATAGATGTACTAAAATATCTGGTACTAAAGCATAATCCGCCCAGCCTCCATGTCTCCAAATTCCAACTGCATTATTAATACCCCCGATTTTACAAAAATGTGGAGATCCAGAATGGCAAAAGTAACAAACATTGCAGCCGCTACAAGATAATTTTTATTGAGAAAGTTTATATTTATTTGTGACATAATCTGAACGTTACTTGTTAGGGTCAACTGCTACTTTATCTCCTACTTTTACATGGGTTACATCAGATCCGGTTTTAACAACAGTACCGGAAAATTCATGACCCATAGTCACTGGACTATCATCTTTACAAGGAAACTCCCCCTTTATAGTAAATAAAATTGATTGTCATTTAAAAAATATCACATTTAGACTTTGCTTTTTATAAAATGATACAGAAGCTTTAATTCTTACCGCTATAATGTGAATATCTGTGCCACAAATTCCTGAGTAGGCAACTTTTACTAACACTTGATGGGAATCAGTTATTTCGGGAATATTTTTCTTTGTTATGTTTAGCACCTTCTTTTTTGAATCGAACTCTAACGCTTGCATTTTCGTTCTTTTTTATCTGTACAATCCACTGCGAACGTGTTTAAGCACTAGCGTACAAAATCAAGTTACAGCCACTTAAATAGCTCAAAACGATTGTTGACAAATCGATAATCCGCTAACTGATAACGTGATAACTACAACAAAACATTTCATTTTGACGATTCAGTTCGTACGAGCGTTGCATAACTTCCATAAACACAAATTAACATTACAAGATAACCTCGTCTAGCTGCACATACAACAATTTGGAAGACCTAAAATTACAGTTTATATCAGACATTTAATTAAATGTTATTATTTAATATTCATATGTGTCGCCCACATTTTTCTTATACAGTATAGGCGAGTTGAGAACCGAACATATTTTTACATATCTATAACAAATACCTTCAGCCACCTTTTCAGTAATATAAACCGAATAACGCGTTAAAACAAATGTGTAGGTAATTTCTATCTAGTTAAACATTTTGCCTTATCTGTATATGCATCAATTTAACAGCGTTTGGTAAAGGTCTAGATGATGGCCCCCACCCCCTTCGGGTGGGGTGGGGGGATCAAAAGAGGAGGTCTCCCCCACCACTGTACCATAAAAAGTTCGTGGCGGTCTCACTCCCATAAACAGTTATGGGGGTTCAAATTTAATAAATATGCCAATTTTTATACATTTCTAGGCATGTAAATATTTATATAGTCATTCTTAAACAATATTCAAAGGTAAAACTAATGAAAAATACATAAAAATATTGAGAAAGTTATATAAAACATTATTTAAATATCTTTATCAATAGGGTAGGTTAGGTTAGGTTAGGTTATCGGGTTTTGTTCAAGTGACCACCCTCTTTCGATCCCCCACCTCCACCCGCTTGAAAATAATTTTTTTATTGAATTTTATTTGAATTATAGTGTATGAAAATTGTCAAAATAATCAACTTTCAACCCCCATAACTTTTTATGGGGGTGAGACCGCCGCAATTTTTTTATGGGGTTTTACTCAGGTGACCACCCTCTTTCGATCCCCACTACCCTCTTTCGATCCCCCTACCCCCACCGCCATCTAACCCCCATAACTTTTTATGGGGGTGAGACCGCCACAAACTTTTTATGGTACAGTGATAGGGGAGACCTCCTCTTTCGATCCCACCCACCCCCACCCCAAAGGGGGGCCATCATCTAGACATTTACCCAGCGTTTTAATGAAGGATTAGTACCTAGTGAATACACTCCTGATATATTTTTAAGGATTGCAATTTTGCTCATGTTTACGTGCACTAAATCTAGTGTTTGCATGGTTGGAAAAACCATGTGTTCTTCATAAGTGCATACTCCACATACAGATTTGTTCCAGTCGTCGATGTACTTAATTCCTCATCTTCTCAGGACGTCTCTCTCACCTGATGTTTTAGTGTGCAAGTTTTTGGTGCCACGTTCTAATTGACCAGCCAGGTCTCATATGTTTGATTGCCTGCAATCTGCAAGGATTCTTTGTTCTAAATTTTAAATACTCATTTTTGTACTATAATACGTTTGAATATCAAAATCGCAGTTTTCAATCAACATATTTTGCAATTTGAAGGTCACTATTGATGTGCAACATACATAATTTGAAGTGTATGTGTGTGTTTCTTTTCTCTACGATATCTCGATAACGAAAAATGATATCAACTTCGTTAATCTACCGGTTGAGTAGTTATTAACATGAATATGAAGTAAAATTAATAACATCTTCTGAACATATTTTGTTTATTCTGAAAATTTTATTTTTTATAAAAGACGATAGTTAATTTTTTAATAAGAAATATGTTTTGTTAGGTCTACCTATAATATATATATAAATATCTATTTTAAGTTCAGTAAACAAAATAATATCTATAACGAGTATTTTAATGATAATCATTCTACAAAATTTGGCAATTAAACACTGAAAAACGTCAATAGAACACTTGATTACAAAATTATTGTATATGTATATCATGTAAAATATTTAATTAACGATAAGCGAACAAATTCAATTTTTTCTCGTTTTACGTCAATAAGGTTCATATAGGTCATGTGTTGAAGTTCATTAATTCACAACTCATCCTACTCAACGGTAGTTGAAGTTATATAATCAAGGAATAGATATTTGTGAATGTGTGCTTTGAAATGTCATCATAGTAACCGTTTATATTAGAATTGTATAGTGTCGGATGAGCCGAAACCTAGACATCAACCTTATCGCATTAGGAAAAATTTTGGGTCAAGAATCCTTGCAGATTGCTGCCAATGAAACGTCTTAATTCATGAATTCAGATGACAAACGCATCATCGCAATATCAAAACATGAAGAAAACCTCTAAAAGATTCCTAGAAGAGAGAGAGATGATATCTGTCTGGTCAACCAAAAGTTGGCACAAAAGACTTGCGCAGTAAAACATCAGGTGTGAGAGATATCCTGAGAAGATGGGAAATCAAGTACATCGATGACTGGAATAATTATGTATGTGAAGGATACCCCTATAAGAAGCAACATCCTCGCATCATGTTTCCAAATTAACCCCGAAAGGAGCCACGCAACCACTGGACTTTTAGTGTACGTTGACATGTGTAATATCCTTGGATAGAACAGATACCTAAGAATTTCTTCCTAAAAAGTAGAAAACCGATAGTGGTAGAGGGTAAGAAGGCGCAGAAAACCGAACAGGGACCACAAGAAAAAGAGAAAGTTACCGAAAAAGAAAAGTCTAAAAGAAGGGCTAAATAAAAAAAAGGATAATAAAAAGAGAGAATGGAAAAGTACATGCGAAAGTCCCCCAAGAATGCGAAAAGGAATAAAAAACAAACCTCTGTCGATGAAGATGAAAGAAAGAAAAAATACAAATGGAAATTCCCAAAGAATATAACAAGAAAGATACGAAACCATCTGTCAATAAAACTGAAAAAGAAACGAAGCGAAGAGAATGGTCTAATGCTACCTGAAGATGCAATCCAAAAACGAGTTGAGGAGACTGTTGACGTTGAAGAATCTGAGGAAGGAGATTAGAGAGGATTCAGAGTGGAGAAAAGATGTGACAGCAGTGTGTAATGCGAACCACCAAAGATTCAACCAGCATGAATGAATCTGCTAAATAGACGCAATTTATAACGACAACAGCCCACCAGATTCACCGACCAGGTTATTTTACAAAAAACAATTCTCAGAATGCAGAGAAAGGGATGATTAGAAAACAGAGAATTACTGAAATACCTCGCAAGTACATTCAACAGTATATCGATAGTAATGATAGCAGCCACTCAGATATGTCGGGATTCGTTACTGCCGATATTCTGACTTAACCACTAGGTATCCAATAAAAAAGTTTTCACATATCTCTTTTTGCTCTTTGTAGTGGTTCATGTCAGTTTAAATTTGTTTGATATAAACGCGACAGGGCTTTGTAGCAACTAAGCGTTTTGGTGAAATTGTTTTTGTGAAATCGAAGGAAGTGATTCATAATTTCGTGTCCTTTTTAACCAACCAAACATTTCGCTCTTTGTGGTAGGGTCTAGGCTATTTAAATTTGTATGACATAAGCGCCGCAGGGTGCCCTAAGGAGTAAGATGACCTGTGTGTTGATAAAAATATGTTTTTGCCAAATCGAACGAGACGATTCATAATAATTTTAAGTCCTTTCCAAATCTAGGCGCGAACAATTTCAGACTTTAATGTGGTCCAACCCAATTTTAATGTATATAACATACGCGCGCAACAAATCAAAAGAAGCCATTCATAATTTCGTGTCCTTTATAACCAATTTTCAATGAGTTTTCGTCCTTGGTTCTAAAACTTTTCGATGTTCTTGTAAATGAACAATCTCCCAATAAATTCCTATAAATCCTGCACCAGTTATGAGAATCCTTTGACCAACAGTTACTGGAGATATCTTCTGTTAATTCCCTTAAATCTTCTAAAACATTATCATTTTAAAGTTTCGATTTATTAAGAGATTTTATTTCTGAAACTGTGGAAATTAAAATTGTGAAAATAGCATAAAGTTCTGCGATGATTCAAGGTTTTATTGTTTTCGAGAAACTCTCCTTGCTTTTGTTCTCAAGAAACTAAATGTTGTGGAAGAAGAAAAAATTCACTTACATAAATTCGTATTTCGTATATTTTTTACTTCAGTACCGTAACGTTTTTTATTTATTTATGATATTTATATCGTATAGGTTTATCTCTGGGTTTTTTTTTTAATTTTCCATTTGTTGCACAGTAACAATTTACTGACCTTGTGTAAAATATTTGAGTTCAGTACACTTTTAAAAAAAAAGATAAGTCAATTGCGGAAAATATCGTTTGATAAGTATGTTTTGTATTTGTTTCTCGTTTTGATTCATTAATCATGTGACCCGTATGTATAAAACCTAAATTAGAGAACAAAAATAGAAAATACTTATTATAGTGACATAATTGAATGTGGACTTTTCAACCAACAAATACTTACAATTAGTTATGATCTGTTTCTGTCAGTGCTTTTAATTTGGTGATAGTAACACCTAGTACTAAAACGTAATCAGTTCAGCTTGCATTCTTCCAAATTCCAACTGCATGATTACGTCATTACCCTCAATTAGTCAAAAATTTGGAGAACCAAAATGACAAAAATAACAAACAGCGGCTACCAGATAACTTTATTGATAAAATTTGTATTTATTTAAGACATAATTGGAACATTATCTATTAGGGTCAATTACTACTTTACTCCCTGCTTTTGCATGGATTAGTTCAGGCTTAACATTAACAACTGTACCAGAAAATTCATGACTCATATAACTGACCATCTTATTCTTAAATCGGAATATAAATTAAGAATGCAAAAAAATGTATAATTAAGAAAACAGTCTCTAAAACGAAATGTCATAAAATTATAGGTACTAGTATCTGCAAGGTATTTTTCTTAACTTACTTTTCAATTGACTGCAGACAAATGTGATCGCGATTTCGAACTCGTTGATTGGCATCAGCACGTTGCCGCCGTAGACAATTCTAAGAATATTACAGTGAACGCCGTTTGTAGAACAAATTGTGGGATCTAATAATGTGTTTGACAAGGTCCTTGCCAATTAATAATATCGACTTGGCAAACTGAACCCACGACGCACCTATCTACGTAATCAACACGTAACTACACCCAACAGAACATGAATTTCTTGGTCAACTAATCTGCCAAAACTATCTGCATCTGTAGAAAATGTGCTACTAATTGTAGGTTTCGGTAATGATTGTAAAGGTCCTTTTCACTTTAAGGATATCGAATTAGTGCGACAAATTTTCTGTAGATTTTTTACAATTATTCATTGAATTTAACTATTTAATAGCAGCAGGTAGACTGGTCTGAGATCTGCCTTCGGCGTGGTGTGCTGATAGGATTCAAGGAGTTCGAAATCGCGTTTAGACAATTATCTGCGCGGTGGATTCAATGTGACATATTCATATCCTTAATTGGAAAAGACTTTTTGTCAAAGAATTCGGTTAAAACGTCTTTATGAATCGTTATCCTCTGTTTAGTCGTTAAACACTTGAAATAGTACATATGATCACAAAATTATCACAACTTTTAATTAGAAATGATAAATGGACAAATTAAAAATTTTGTGGTATTGCGCAAATAAGGTTAAGATAGGTCATGACTACGAAAATCACAACTAATTAACTAATAGGACAAAATGTAAACACAACACTTCGGATAGTTTTACTGCTTCTAAGAACTGACCTTATTAGTAAAATTTGTAACAACAAGGACATGGATAAAAATAAACCATGTTAGTTGACCGTTAATTTATTCACTTGTTGACAAAATATTGTACATAGCAAAAGTTAGGTACAACTAATTATTGGAATTAATATACTTTATTTATACAGTTCGTTTTCCATAATTGTCCAGTTCTTTCATTTTCGATAAAACCGCTTTAAGATTTTCTAAAAGTACATCGACAGTCAATGGCGTGAGGGCAACGGATGTTTCTTTACCATCAATTGTCATATTCATCATAGCCAAATGGCATTCTGGTTCCAAATCAATCTTGACATCGTCCAAATTATGAACTATAACATAAAACAGACTTGTGCCAATTGAAGTAGCTTCAGATCCGGGAAAACTATAAAAAAATAATGGAGGAAATAGTCGATGACGAAACGTCAGTAATACACATTCTGACGCGGGTGGTGCAATAGATTCTGATTATAAATTTAAAATTAATTAATTATTCAAATAAGTATTAGGTAATAAGAAGAATCGTTTTGTGCGTCTTCGATTTATTCATTGAATTTTTCCATAACTAACGCATGTGACCGCGACTTTCTTGTGGAGTTTTTTTAAACTGATAATTTTCTATGACGTCTCCAGATAAAGCATCTTTTTTTCTGATGATGGAAAAAAGAAAATTCCAATTGCAATATTTAAAATTAAATACATCGTAACAACTTCTTAATATTGCCGTGCAACATCTCATTCCTCGATATGGGACTAATTTCATGTGACCAAAATGCTAATAAGGGGGACATCTGTCAACCGTTCGTTCTTCTAATCCAAACTACTACTTATATACAAACAGTCTTCGCACTGAAGACGTTTAATGGGGATGATAAATTATAAAAAATTATTGTAAATTTTTTGAGACAGAAGATGGTATTTTTGAATTTTACTTTATATAGTTTCGTCACCTTCTCAGCCACGAAGCGCTAGTTAGGGACATTCCAGAAGCAAAAACAGAAGTTAAAAGGAGTAGAGGTAGACCTAGATTAGATTACCGTTCACAAATTTTAGATATGTAAATTGGAAAATGCGAAATATGTGAAATCACTTCTATTATGAATGCCTGACTATAATATTTTATTAAAGTAACCTAACTTAACCCAGTCCCTGCGAAAGATAGAATTAATAGAAAAAGGTACCAGAAAATTCATGACTCATATAACTGACCATCTTATTCTTAAATCGGAATATAAATTAAGAATGCAAAAAAATGTATAATTAAGAAAACAGTCTCTAAAACGAAATGTCATAAAATTATAGGTACTAGTATCTGCAAGGTATTTTTCTTAACTTACTTTTCAATTGACTGCAGACAAATGTGATCGCGATTTCGAACTCGTTGATTGGCATCAGCACGTTGCCGCCGTAGACAATTCTAAGAATATTACAGTGAACGCCGTTTGTAGAACAAATTGTGGGATCTAATAATGTGTTTGACAAGGTCCTTGCCAATTAATAATATCGACTTGGCAAACTGAACCCACGACGCACCTATCTACGTAATCAACACGTAACTACACCCAACAGAACATGAATTTCTTGGTCAACTAATCTGCCAAAACTATCTGCATCTGTAGAAAATGTGCTACTAATTGTAGGTTTCGGTAATGATTGTAAAGGTCCTTTTCACTTTAAGGATATCGAATTAGTGCGACAAATTTTCTGTAGATTTTTTACAATTATTCATTGAATTTAACTATTTAATAGCAGCAGGTAGACTGGTCTGAGATCTGCCTTCGGCGTGGTGTGCTGATAGGATTCAAGGAGTTCGAAATCGCGTTTAGACAATTATCTGCGCGGTGGATTCAATGTGACATATTCATATCCTTAATTGGAAAAGACTTTTTGTCAAAGAATTCGGTTAAAACGTCTTTATGAATCGTTATCCTCTGTTTAGTCGTTAAACACTTGAAATAGTACATATGATCACAAAATTATCACAACTTTTAATTAGAAATGATAAATGGACAAATTAAAAATTTTGTGGTATTGCGCAAATAAGGTTAAGATAGGTCATGACTACGAAAATCACAACTAATTAACTAATAGGACAAAATGTAAACACAACACTTCGGATAGTTTTACTGCTTCTAAGAACTGACCTTATTAGTAAAATTTGTAACAACAAGGACATGGATAAAAATAAACCATGTTAGTTGACCGTTAATTTATTCACTTGTTGACAAAATATTGTACATAGCAAAAGTTAGGTACAACTAATTATTGGAATTAATATACTTTATTTATACAGTTCGTTTTCCATAATTGTCCAGTTCTTTCATTTTCGATAAAACCGCTTTAAGATTTTCTAAAAGTACATCGACAGTCAATGGCGTGAGGGCAACGGATGTTTCTTTACCATCAATTGTCATATTCATCATAGCCAAATGGCATTCTGGTTCCAAATCAATCTTGACATCGTCCAAATTATGAACTATAACATAAAACAGACTTGTGCCAATTGAAGTAGCTTCAGATCCGGGAAAACTATAAAAAAATAATGGAGGAAATAGTCGATGACGAAACGTCAGTAATACACATTCTGACGCGGGTGGTGCAATAGATTCTGATTATAAATTTAAAATTAATTAATTATTCAAATAAGTATTAGGTAATAAGAAGAATCGTTTTGTGCGTCTTCGATTTATTCATTGAATTTTTCCATAACTAACGCATGTGACCGCGACTTTCTTGTGGAGTTTTTTTAAACTGATAATTTTCTATGACGTCTCCAGATAAAGCATCTTTTTTTCTGATGATGGAAAAAAGAAAATTCCAATTGCAATATTTAAAATTAAATACATCGTAACAACTTCTTAATATTGCCGTGCAACATCTCATTCCTCGATATGGGACTAATTTCATGTGACCAAAATGCTAATAAGGGGGACATCTGTCAACCGTTCGTTCTTCTAATCCAAACTACTACTTATATACAAACAGTCTTCGCACTGAAGACGTTTAATGGGGATGATAAATTATAAAAAATTATTGTAAATTTTTTGAGACAGAAGATGGTATTTTTGAATTTTACTTTATATAGTTTCGTCACCTTCTCAGCCACGAAGCGCTAGTTAGGGACATTCCAGAAGCAAAAACAGAAGTTAAAAGGAGTAGAGGTAGACCTAGATTAGATTACCGTTCACAAATTTTAGATATGTAAATTGGAAAATGCGAAATATGTGAAATCACTTCTATTATGAATGCCTGACTATAATATTTTATTAAAGTAACCTAACTTAACCCAGTCCCTGCGAAAGATAGAATTAATAGAAAAAGCGTTACACCCTAGGCCTAGGGTTCGCGTACCTAAGCCTAATATCACCATACAGAACCCTAAAATGGTGGATTGTTATAAAAAAGTAAAAATAAAACATAAAAACAATTTTTTGTTTACTTTTTAACGAAATTTTCTCAAGCTTCTTCGTAATTTCCGCAGTTTTGTCAGTCGTGACTTTTATCAGAGATACGCTATGTTCTCGAGGTAATCCCAGCTGTTGCAGTTCGCTAAAAAGAGCGCTGTTGTCGCAGTTGTAACGAACCGCTGATGTAATAATGAAAGATAAACAAGCCACGCAGGCTTTTAAATCAACGTCGTTATCTATAACAAAACCCCTCATTAATTTTAATGAACTTGCACGTCTAGAAGATTTCTCACCTAACTTCGAATCGGCAAATAACTTTTCTACGTTTTCCATCTAAAATTATTACCAACATTAAATATAAGCACAATACATTTAAAAAACATCTTTTCATACAGGGTGTCCGAGTAAATAAACTCAATTTAATAATCCTTCCTTTCCTACAGAATAGACACACTGTACTTTATTCTCCATTTCATCCGTTGGTTTGGATAATATTAAAAAGTTCAAGGCAATTAAAGGTCAGAAAGTTTTTATTTGGTGTTGGTTCTTCAAAAATAAAAACCTTCCAACCGCCGATTGCCTTGAACTTTATTTAATATTACCCCTGTACTTTATTTACAAGTTTTTTGAGTTTCCGCTACACTTAATTGAAATTATTTTGTAAAAAGTTATCAATAATTCCACTTTGAAAAGTGTCTTGCTACGTAAAACATGTACCCGTCATTGTAATTAAGATTAAAATAGTAGATAAAGAGCTATAAATAAATATTGCAAATAACGCAGTAAACAAAGCACTAAAACCTTAAACTCCACACAAAATCGTTTAGAAACCTAGAATACATTTCCATAGCCAAGGTGTCGTTCTTAAGGTGCGTATATATTTAGTGGGCATTTGTGCTTGCTTTTATTAATAATAATCGTCGTCACCAGCCATTATTTTACCAAATGGGTATAAAATAAATGAGAAATACTGCTTCGACTACGTTCTGAGTTGTCCAGGATAGATACAAACGAAGCATGTGCTCGGTTTCGCCTTGTGCTTCGGACGTGTTCGCACTCAAATCTAAACGCACCTTTAGTGAATCGGTACCACGTAGATATCGATACTTTTACACGATAATTTATCGAAAAAAATATCGATATATACTTATGTCGATAGTTTTTGACATTTAGACAAAATTAAAAGATAAATAACACGCTGTTACAAAGTAGTTGGAAATTTATTTTTGTATTTTTATTTATTTATGTTTCTGTGTGAAATTTGAAGTTTTAATGTCTTATGTAGTTCATTTCAACAGAAATCCATTTGACTGATTTTCTTGTATAAGTAATATGTTCCTTAATTTAAAATAAAATGGATATTTGTTGACCGATATAACTTACATTTATTGGTGGTTCTGTTATACCCTGCGCGACAATTTGTGCTAAAAGTTTAACTTTTATTGACGACAATCTCGATATAGTATTTATTTCAGCGAGAACCCAGTCAGGGCAATCAGCATCCCCACAAAAACGAAATTTCTGGAGTAAAATTTTTTAAAANGTATTGGGAGGTAAAACAAAATAAAATTCTAATTAAATAAACTCTCTGATTTAATCTTAAATTAAAAATCATACATAGCTTTTGTTAAGCTTTCTACAATAATTAATAATAACCAACACTACTGACGTTCTTGACGTCCAACAATTGAGTCAACAATATCATGGCACTGATTATAATATCACCCGATTCTATTTTAAGTTTGCGTGATTAACCTCATCATTTAAATAATCATCATTATCAAAACTTTGCCTATTTTTAGCTTTAATATTTGTAAAATTACTTTAAGTCTATTCCATCTGTAGTCGGTTTAAAGAAACAGATAACGATGTCTATATTTTCCTGAATTGAAGTTTAATCAGAACTTTTATCACGAAAAATGGGAAAATGCAATACTTACCGGAAATGTAAACTGCAGCTTCCAATAGGGTGGAAAACAGTAATTACTAAATACTTCGATAAAAATTTTCGTAAAAAATTAATTCAAGGGCGAGAGACTACACTACCTCTGCATCTTTTGTGTACATATTGAATCATGTTTGGACGAAGTAGAGAGCTACAAAATTTTTCTCCATTAGCGTTAGTGCTACCATACAGATGTCGCGAACATGTTGAAACGCTTCAATTTAAATTTATTTTGTATATATACTTTCTAAAGTTAATAACAAATAATTTTAAATGGAAAAGTTCCGATTAGATCAGGAAAAGTAAGAATCTCCGTCTCTTTTAAAGTTATTTTATTATTAAACGCAAAACAAGGCTATGATTTAAAACAGTACGATTGACGCAATCTTGTCTATGTTTTGTTATATTTTTTCGGTTCTACTGTAAAACTACAATAATAGTACAAACTGATCAGTAACTAAATATATTTGCATTAGCTCCAAAATAAACTAAGCATGTTTTGCAATTTATTAAAAATTAGTACGAAATAATTAACACATGTAGAAAGCAAAATAGCTACTGTTTACTTTTATTAAAAAAAGGTAAAAAACAGTAAACAGAATAATTATTTATTAATAATTAGTATTTGTTTCACTTCTTTCCTTCGGTGACTATTGATTCTTGTTGATAGAAAATTTAATTAGCCAATTATTTAATTACTACTCCAAAATTTATTCTGTACCAAGTTTATTTTTTTTTTCAAACGTTTTTTCAATTCTTCATTGTATTTCTCTATCAAATTGGATACTTCATCGAGCCTGTTCTTAACAATAGTTTCTGATTCGTCGCCTTCTATTTCGTTTTGTAATTCATTGAGTTCTTTTTCAATATTTTCAATACGCTGCTCGATCTTAACAATCTTTTTGTATTCTTGACTTTTACTCAGTTGTTCCTTAAACAATATTTAATTCAATTAGTTTACTTCTGCGAATGCGGAAGTTCCGCGCACCTTTTTACATCAGCTCCCGTATTTGGTTCTGTATTTTTTATAGCGAAAACTTATTAAAACTTTATTAGATACTTTATAGAAATAGCGAACTTATTGACCAAATTACTAGAAATTTCAGTATTATAATTGATTGCATGGTGAAATAGAGGGTAAATTCTTTTACTAAGTATAAATTTCCTTGGTTAAGTTTTTAATAAACGTTATCAATGCCGTACATAGAAAAATTGGAAACAGAAAAAGTAGAAAAATAGTTAAAGTCCTTATGATAATAATGATTAAATAGTTTAATAAGTAATTGTAATTTTTTCCGCATTCCCTTCTCTTTGCGCTTTCGCAAAAATTTACTGTTTGTTACTACCTTCTGTTGTATTTTTTTAAAATCAAAAATTTAGTTTGTAGTTACTTACCTCCAAAGATGATTTCTTTTTTTCTGCTTCACTAACTGCAGACACAGTCGCATTGAGCTTGTTTTTTATATTTGCGATTTCTTGTTTAACATTTTTCAATTCACTTTCAATAGTCGCCTTTTTCTTATCAATATCGTTCAAATCGTCTAAATTTGTTTCAGTTTTTTCTTTTTCTTGAGTTAATTGTTTTATTTCGTTGTCGTCTTTTTCGTTAATCATATTCAATCGAGCTATACGAGCGCTTAAAACTTCATAATGTTTCTTCAGTTCTTCTAAAGGCATTTTACGAAAATCTGTGTTTGCGTTCATGTCGTTGATTTCAAAATCGGCAATGCTTATCAGCATTGCATCAAGGCTTTCTATTATTTTATCTTGTTCCTTTTGAATATTTTTCATAACGCGAGATCTCTTTTCCTCAAATGTGTCTATAAATTCGTTCATCACAACCTCTCGTTGTCTAAGTTCTTTATGTTTTTCAAGCCTTTTATTGTTTGTATTGTCCAATTCTTCTTCCATTATTTGCAGCCTTCCCTGTTTTTCTTTCAATTCTTCATCGAGAAGTGTTTTAGTCTTAGATAATACTTCGATGTCAGCTTTATCTTTTTTTACCTGTTATTGCAATGAAAACAAATTTTGTAGTCAAATTTATAATCGAAAACCTAAACGCTTTTACCTGTTGTAGCAAAATTTCCTTTTGATTTTCAGGATTGATAATTTCATTAACCTGTTTGGATAAAGTCTCATGTTGACGTTTAGCTCGTTCGTAATTTTTTAACAAAGTCAATTTTGTTTGTTTTTGCTAGAATTAAAAAAAGTAGTGGACTTAACTATCGTATTATCATCAACTGTATTTAGTTTTACCTTGCTAGGTATCAGCATTTTTTGGTCGTTTTCAATCTTCTCTTTAACATTTTTAAGCGATTTTTGTTGTTCGTTAATTTTTTCAACGTATTTTTTATTTTGTTCATAAAGCTCCAAATATTTTTCGCGTTCGTCTGTAGATAAAGTTTCTATAATTTTTTTCGTAAACTGCTCTTCCTATAAACAAAATAAAAAAAAAAATAGGAAATAATTCGCTGGAAAACTAAAATTAGTTTTCTTCGTCGTACTTCGTCAAATTCTTTTTTAAGTTGTTTCAGATTTTCTTCCCGTTTCAGTTTATATATTTGTACGTTTTCTAGCTCATCCATGAGTTGTCGATTTCTTTCTCTTGTCTTCGCCGTGTCCTGTGCGATTTTATCGTTCGTGATATAGGACATATGGAAATCTAAAGCGTTATTGTAAGTGTTCAGAAGTTCCTGTTGTTCGGCAAATTTTCTGGCTAGCTTTTCGGCAATCCTTTTTAACTCGGGCTTTGTAACCGAAGCTACTTTCCCTTCAACTATTGACTTCTTTAAACGAATTATCTCATCTTGTAATAATCCAATGTGGGACTGTATTTGCGAGATGTAGTACCTTTGATCCTTGTGGATCCTATTTGAGCCTTGAGCTGTGCCCAATCGACGTGGACCACTTAGACCTTGCTGGGTGATAGGACGGGCCTTCAACCCAAAAATATTTTAGTACAAAATCTATGAACAACTACTGTGAAACACTTTTGTGGTATTTTTTATGTAAACTTACCATTGTCGGGAGGCCACTTAAGGGTCTTCCCGTACTAGGACGAGCAGAAGCTTTTCTCTGCATCTTTTAAAATATATTTAAAAAATAGGACTAATTTTATGTAGTAAAACCCGCGACAAACGTTGCCTTCTGTATAAAATCCTACGAACTCTGTGTGCGATTGTTTGTAGTCAGTCACTAACTTTGTATTTCCATGGTAACATTCGTACAAATGCGGTTATGTTGACAGTTAATTTTGAATGTTAAATAGTATTTGTTTTCCAAAAAAAATTAACTAGGAAAGGTGTCGATGTACAGTAGTGAACGAAAGTTAGGCTGCTAGGGTATTGGGAGGTAAAACAAAATAAAATTCTAATTAAATAAACTCTCTGATTTAATCTTAAATTAAAAATCATACATAGCTTTTGTTAAGCTTTCTACAATAATTAATAATAACCAACACTACTGACGTTCTTGACGTCCAACAATTGAGTCAACAATATCATGGCACTGATTATAATATCACCCGATTCTATTTTAAGTTTGCGTGATTAACAGACTGCATGGTTTTTTTTTGTATTTACATAATTAATCGTAATAATAATAATAATAATTAATATAAGTAATTATTATTATGATGGCTGTTGGTAAATATTAAAAATGAAATATGAAAGGAGTGACCCAGCAGATCAGCTACAAAGAACGGAGGGAATAAGTACATCAGTCAAGGTCACTCCTAAGCGTTTTGACTAGAAAAATTATAATGTGAGATGATAAAGGAGTCGGGAGGAGCGTGACCTTTGGGGTACCGTCGGTGACCTGTCCGAAGTACCCCGCGCTCGGTCGCGGCTGCTTTAAAAAAGGTACTCGATCACAGAAAACTTTGTCTAAACACGTTTGCCGCCATTTTGCTTTCGTCCTATAATTATTTAAATATTCATTCATTAATTAATTAATTTATTTATTTACTACAAACACAATCCAACTTATTCACTATTGCTTGGGCGTGCAAAATTGCGGCAACAACTTGTGAACATTTTATTTTCATTTTTTTTTTTTTTGTTATTTATTTACACTCGTCGAAATTAATAGAAAACCACTGCAATGACTTTTCATAATTGTACACATTTGTATCTTGTATTGATTATAATCGTTCAACATTTATCACAAAATGAAACAAACATGAATCAAAAAGTTAACACCGAATTTTGTCGTTTTTGGTACATCCTTGTATATTTTGAGCAAATACAAATAGATACTCGCCAGTTTAAACAAAAAACTTATTATGTTTCTTGGATACGAAAAAATTGAATGAAAAAGAAATCAGTTACAGAAATGGGAGTTTATTCAGCCCTAACGTCTTCATTTCGAAATCGTATAAAACTACTATAAAATATTAGATAGAATTAAGATTCGGGCAGATCGACCCTGACCGAAATGGACGATTAAGTCCAGACGTTTCGTTAGCAACTATGGCTGTCATCTTCAGTAAATACCGCGTTGTCAACACAGATAACAGCAACAGTTGCTAACGAAACATCTGGTCCACTATCTTCAGTTCGTTTTGACCAAGATCCAACAGCCCGAGTCCTAATTCTACCGTGGATTCCGGCCCATATCCTTACAGTATTATAAAATAGTTGTCCCAACGGTGAGCACAATTGCGTTTTGAGAAAAACACACGTTAGGTATACATTTTCTTTATAATTATTGCTTATTTTTTATTGCCAAATGAGATATGGTTGCTGAACCCCTAACGTGGAGTTTTTGCTTCCGCTAATATCGTAAGTAGCAAATATAATTGTCCTATTCAACGTCGAATTTTTTTTTAAGGCAAATGCTATAATAATTGACAATGTCAAAACGTTGACAAGGTCGAAGAGCACTTGAATTATAACGACGCAACGTTGAAAAATCATTGCAGCATCTCAAGTTTTACGTAATGCCGCTTTGCGAACTGGCATAACTGGCGTTTTGCCTAAAAACGTATTTATGGTTGGTATGAATGTTTTTTTTTATGTATGTACGTAACGCATGTATTTTAATGGATAATGTTTACGTCGGTATGTAATTATTTATCAAAGTACACTATGAGCCGACGTTGCGCAGTGAGCAAGCTCGATAACGACTACGTAAGTTAACTATAAGCTACAGTATCAATATTATTGTAATACTAAGGCACAGACCCAGCTCACTGCTCCTGCGCGCTACTGCCACTTTGGCGCGCTAAGCACAATCCTGGAAGACAAGCACCGCTGGATAAACTACCCAACATAGGAACGGAATTTCAACATAATAACTTCAGGCACAGCGTCGCAAAGACGAAAATATTACACCCTAACATTAACGGTTCGAAAACGAGAGCATTTTTTATCAAATACTAAATTTATATTTATATTATCTGTATGACCTAATCGGAGATGGTGAAAACTGTTGGGATTAGAAAACAATTGTGTGGGAATATTTTTTTCTGGACGCTGTGATCGGGAGGCCGCAGGGGTTGTGTCAGGCCCCTTTGGACTCGGGCTGGGCGCATACACAGCCTGATTTGGCAACTGGTGTCTAAACTATATAATATATATATAT